TAAATTCCAAGTGTAGCGATGCAATTGCGCATTTGCGTTTGTTTAAATATACTTAAATATAATACACTTGTAATTGTTTGGTAGCTATACCACTCACTAAGAACGTTTGCGTCTTACGTCCAGTTCCGAATTTCAGAGTGAAGTGAATGAAGTTCAGACTCCTATCAGTATAATCCTATCAGTTCCGAATCCGAGAAATGACGGTCCGAAATGTCACAGGGATATTTTTTTTTATAACATCTAGTGACGGGACGAACAAGTCGTGTGCCTGATGGTCAGCTACTCACCTAAAAGTTCCGATCAGACCAAAGATCTGAGAGGCACTGCCACTGCGCCTGTCGCTTTGAGAGAACAAGTCAAAATATGTGCTTGTAATTTCTCCAGCACCCTTACCCTTCAAAACAGTAATACTGACATTACTGCTTGGCGGCAGAAAGAGGTAAGGTGGCAGTACTACCCTAGACGAACTGTTTCATAAGGAGCTCTGCTACTACTAAATCTCTAGGCGTACAAGCGATATTTGTATTTTCTCGAATTCGAACCTGGCTTAACACAAGCGACAGCCGAAGTTGGTCTGAGTTGTCCCGATTTGTATAGCTTCCGATGCCGAACGAATACGAGTAGGATGCAGTACGTAAATACGCTAACGGCATTGTAAAATAAGATCACCACATTTATTAATGCAAAGTTGCATTAAGCCAGTCGAAAAAGCTTTATAACCATGAACGTAAGAGCGAAAAAGACGTTGTGCGTTTCGCATCGGTTCGTACGAACGCGGCTTGACACAGGTTGGCAACTACAGAACAACGAATACAGTGAAGTGCTTAGTTTGCATGGTACGTAGGCCAACAGTACTTGAATTTTATGCTCAGTCCGCCATTGTCGCTTTGTAAGGTATGGTATGGTCGTGTCAATTGTCTCGCGCAAAACCTCTGAAATCGTAAGAAATTACTTATTTTGCTACTTTGGAGTGCAGAAATGAAAGTCGCACCTCTAATATAATCCATATCAGTGTTCCATATCATTGTTAAGTCTTATTTCACTTAATTTTTATATTTATCGTAATAATTTTTATTTTACAATAAACGAAATTAAACCTTATACCGCTGCAATATGGTCACTTCTTTTTTGGAGAACCAAGTAAACATCTCGAATGCATCGTCGTTCAGCTACTGATCGCGAGATGGCAGCACATTGATTGACATTACAATATAAAATCAAAACATCGTTACTTGCAATAATAGGTATTGACGGTATTGAACTTTTAACCATATGCTAACAGGGTAAAGTTTACATTATAATAACAGCCCAGAATTCGTTATTTATTTTTCAATTAGAAACGACTACCAATCATTATCAAGATTTCAAAGGTCAAAAAGAATTAACTAGTCAACGGGACTATTCCTGTAAACTGTTTGTTCTTCAATTCTTACATAAATACCCAATCTTTTTTTAATTCATATTAACATAATAACTCGTAGAAATCGTCTACATTTTCTTTTAGGTCTAGAAGCTGCTATACTCATAATATACGACTAATTTGGAAAACAATGCAATCCGATTACAATCAGTTTACATACACCTCTCGCCACTGCGATGATCTAATAGCGGGAATTTTGATCTAAAATTTTATGCAATTATCACCTTAAGTGGGTTATTTATTTACAGGATTACACAGAAGAAGAGAGCATAAATAAAATTGTTTTAGATTTCAAGAAGAGGGAGCGAGAGAACTTCGCCATATACCAGCTGTTAGTGGAGTATTGCGCCGAGAACGTAACACTGGCTAAGGATTTGGAGAAAACTCGACAGGAGCTCGGTATCTTTTATTCTTTTTTCTTATTTTTTAGACTGGCAACCAGTTAAACTTGATGGAAAGTGGCTACAGTCATCATCATCAATTGCTGGGTATATGCCTCTCGCAGTGCCGCCCGTGACTTTGACGGTGTCTACTCATATCGCTACAGAACGCCCCAAGTTTCTGTAACCATTTCTTGTCGCTTTACTCCACCTGTCATCATCATGCCTCGTGACAATCGCCAATACAATTTCGCAACTATTCGTAAGCCTGCACTTAGCCTCAGTCTGAATTTTCATACACCGAAAACCGAATTATAACGAAACCGTTGTTCTTTCAGGATATGTTTATCGCAAAGACTAGGTTCAGTTAAGTTAGGTTTAAAAGAAAAAACATTTTCCTCTCAAAATTACTTTCGAGGTTATGAAAATTCGAGCAAACGT